CATGAAGGCCTGACTCTGCATTGCCAGGGCCCCAGCCCCTCCCAGACTGCCAGACAAGAGACAGAGCTGCCAGGGGAGCAGGTGTTTTCAGACTTGCAGCAGGGGGCACAAATCCCTCTCTAGGGAACCAGCAGGAAAGGAAGCCAAAGAAGGTGGATTTTGAGGGATTTGTAGCAACCAGCCCTGGCCCAGCAGGTCCCACTAAGATTTGAACTCAGAGTCCTGAGTGCTGCCTCTTACACCATGGGACCTACACAAGGCACCAGTGACTCAGCTGGGCCAAACTGGAGCCCTGTCCCAGGCCCAGGCCCACTGGGACCAGCTTTGCTTGTTTTCCTTCCACCCAGAGCCCCCTTCTTCTCCTGGGCTGCAAGGAGCCTCCCTGGGATGCCCTGAGGCAGACACAGGGCTCTGCCTCCCCACAGCCAGCCCCACCCCACAGGCTTTGGCAGAACAAGGTGGGGGGTCTCTACTCACCCCACTGAGTCCCACTGAGACATTGAGCTTTTGTCCTGCCCCGCTTCTCTGCCCCATTCCTGCCTCACTGCCTCCTTGGGCAAGTCACACAAGGGAAGCAGCAGGAGGAGCCAGCCAGCCCCATATACCTGCTTCCGAGGACAGGGGAGGCTGAGACACAAGTGTCCATCAGGTGCCTGGCCTGACCCATCTGGCTTCCCCAGGCTGGCACCAAGGGGCATTCTCAGCTGATGTCACCCCCCCCCCTCCGTCGACTGGGAGTTGGGCTTATCCCAGGCACAATCCGGGTAGCAAGAGCTGCACTTACCCGGGCACCAAGAGGAGCTGCAATAAGAGAAGACCCGGTGTATCCGCCTGGCTTTGAACCAGGAACTTTTTGCAAGTTAGGCAAATGTGATAACTACTACAGCACAGAAGCACTTTTCAGGGGGGTTTAATTGGGCTGGTTTAGACAGGAGAGGTACTCCCTCGTACCTGTCCGCCATCTTGTTGATAAGGCTTTATTTTTCCTAGCTTAATTGATGACTTCTGTAATTGGATGCCCTGACGTCAGGCTGTTTGGTCAAGGGTATAAAGATACTAGGATTGATTGTATTAGCAGCCTTACTGGGCCCGGCTTTGCTGGGACCACGTTTGGCTCATGCTGTGCTTTATTAATTAATAAAGCTCTCCCTTCCCCAGGCTGGCACCAAGGAGCATTTTCAGCTGATGTCACTCCCCTGTCACATGGGAGTTGGGCTCATGAACAGGCTGGTCAGCAGCAGCTGCACTTACCTGGGCACCCAGGGGAGCAGCAATAAGAGCAGAGCCTGTCTTTCAACCAGGGACCTTTTGCATGTTAGGCAACAGCGAAAATCACTACACCACAGAAACACACTTTGGCTTTGGTGGAACTTGTCTGACTGTTTTGTTACTCAGTCCTTCTAAAACCCTGCTCTGCGGGGGAGGGGAATGCACCTTGTGAACACTCCATCTCTTGTTCCCAGGGAAGCCACTAACCCGAGCTGCCAGCTCCTCATTTCCTCACCAGCCCCTTGAGATTTGTAGCTCAAAGCTGGAGCTGCTGTGGAAGGAGGTGAAGCTACAGAGGCTGACAGGGGACAATCAGCGGGCGGAGGGTTATTTTTCTCCTCCCTTGGCTGATGTGGCTAGAACTGAGGAGAAGAAAATCCTCTTCCCTTCTCCTCAGAAGATGGAACTTGCAGCTTGTTTTCTCTCTGGTTCTACTAAAGCTGGACCCCAGGACTAGACTTTTTCTTTCTAAAACCCTGGTGGAAGCTGAGAGTGAATTGCTTGTAGGCTGAGAATGTGAATTAAGGAAGGGCATTGCCCAGCATAGGGCTTGAACCCATAACCCTAAAATTAAGGGGCACATGCATTACCAACTGAGCTAGCCAGGTTACTGCAATAGCTTTTCTAATATGCCATCATAGGGTAGCAGGAACCGAGAGTTCTCAAGTGCCTGACTCAAGGCTCTTTCTTGCCCCTAATGG